ATGATTGTAAGACAAAGACTATCTGTAAAGGTCCTGATGTCTTTGAATAAGCAAATCTATCAACTAAATAGTTATCTGACATTGGCAGAAACAAAGAAAACAGAATAGCTTGGGGGATTACAGGAGAAACTAAGGGAAAAGGAAAAGTTTAGATGAATGTAGCCAATTTTCTATCACTAGAGCTTTGTTTGGGGATATTTTTTTTAGCTACCAGATTCCACCTGAAAACAAATTGAAAATCCCTGGTCTAGAATCCATTTCCTAATAACAGAACTAAGAAAAAATGTTCTCTTTACTCGAATTTCAGGATCATTATGAAATAGCAGCCAATAAACACCAGACATTCCCACAATTTGGGTGGGCATCTTAGTGATATCTATATTATGTTCTGCTCTGGAAAAAGCTGGGAAAGGTGGAAGGAAAGGGAAGAAGATGACCAGCAGCAAGGTGGATGGACTCGGTTATAGTGACAATGAGTGTACCGCTGGAAGACTTGAGAAAACAGGTTAGAATACATTGTCATGAAGAAGATCAATGAAGTCACTAGGAGTCAAAAACAACTTAATAGTACATAATCAATCAATCAATCAATGACTAATAGAGCTTTTTGTACACTTCTTTTCACAGATCAGTCAGAGTGGTATTATATTAATGGTATAATTTAGTCTTTCTAAAACATTTGCCTTTGTGGTATACTGGATTTCAATTCACATAAGTATAATAAGTACAAGCAATGGTTAATGACAGATGTAAATCCAACTCATCTGAAGTGCCCAGATTTGGGAACATTGTTCTTCAGTTGTTGATGAATTCCAAGTTTCATCAACTTAAGCCAGTAGTGGAAAATGTGAATAGATGGAGCCATTTGACATTTGGAGGATTGCATGTTATTATGCAATGAAAAAAGCAAGACTGTTTCAGTCAGTAGTTTGAACACAATGCAGCAACCAGGGTGCATTATTTGCTACTTTAAAACTTCTCCTACAGTTCATTTTTAACAAAAGCTGTATTTTGGAATGAAGATCTGGGTCACAGGAGCACTGGCATCAAGACAAAGCAAAAGTACAAGCAAAACCAGTTCACAATATGGGGGTCCTCCTGGATTCCAAATTCTTGTTTGAAGAACAGGTGGCAGCGGTAGCCAGAAGACCTTTCCACAAATTCCTATTTTGTCTCAATGGCACCCTTTCCTGAATAGGGAAGATTGGTTCACAGAATAACAGAATAGAATAACAGAGTTGGAAGGGATATTGGAGGTTTTCTAATCCAACCCCTGCTCAGTCAGGAAATCCTATACCATTTCAGACAAATGTTTGTCCAATCTCCTCTTAAAAACTTCCAGTGTTGGAGCATTCACAACTTCTGGAAGCAAGTTGTTCCACTGATTAATTGTTCTAACGGTCAGGAAATTTTTCCTTATTTCTAGGTTAATTCTGTCCTTGATTAGTTTCCATCCGTTACTTCTTGTTCTGCCTTCAGGTGCTTTGGAGAATAGCTTGACTCTTTCTTCCCTGAGATATTGGATCACTGCTATCGTGTCCCCCCTAGTCCTTCTCTTCATTAAACTAGACATACTCAATTCATGCAGCCATTCCTTATATGTTTTAGCCTCTGGTCCCCTGATCATCTTCACTGCTCTTCTCTGCACTCTTTCTAGAGTTTTACATCTTTTTTACGTTGTCAACCAAAACGTAATGCCTATTCCAAGTGTGGTCTTACCAAGGCATTATAAAATGGTATTAACACTTCATGTGATCTTGATTCTCTCTCTCTGTTAATGCAACCTAGCACAGTATTGGCTTTTTTGGCAGCTGCAGCACACTGCTGGCTCATATTTAAATCCACTAGGACTCCAAGATCCCTCTCACAGTTACTACTATTGACCAAGATACCACCTATACTATACCTGAGCATTTGGGGCTTTTTTACCTAAATGTAGAATCTTACTTTTTTCACCACTGAATTTCATTTTGTTAGATAGTGCCCAATGTTCAAGATTTGTCAAGATCCTTCTGTATCTTAAGCCTATCTTCAGGAGTGTTGGCTATTCCTGCCAGCTTAGTGTCATCTGCAAATTTGATGAGTTCCCGATCTATACCTCATCCAGATAATTGAGAGGCATTTCCCAGTTTTGACGATTGCAATGTGTTTTACATCAGACTATCCTTGAAGATCCCTTGGAAGTTACAGTGTGAAGCAGAATGCAGAAGTGTCTGCATTATTGGGCACCCCTTGTTTAGTGACTGTTATACTTCTGTTGTGTGAGCTGCACTGGCTTTAGTTATTTTTATGGGTATCATTCAAGTGCATAGGGTTAGGCTATTTGTGGGACAGTCTCTCCCTGGTCTGACTAAAGTGATATGGGAGCCTCTGAATATTTGTTGTAAGTGCCAGGGCATTTTTGTTTTTTATCTTATAGGGTAGATTTATTATTTTGTGGTTTTACTGCAGATAATTCTTGACTTATGACCAATCACTTAGTTTCCAATTTAGAACCAACTTATCTTAGGGCTACTTAAGACCTAGATTCAAAGATCCAACAATCAGATGCCATCTGCAATTATGTGACTGAACCTGGGGTGCTCAGCACCCAGGCCAAAATTATGTTTCCTGCAGCATTCCACAGTCACATGACCACGTTTTACAATGATTTTGTATTTATATCTAAATTTCAGCAAAACAGCATCCATAGCAAACCGTTGGTTTGTTTAATGACCATGGCATTCACTTAATGACTATGGTGCTTTTTTATGATCACCGTATTCACTTAATGACTTCCACAAAAAAGTTTGCAATTTTATTACTGTCCTGACATAAGACTGTGCTGGGCATAACTCCTGTAAATGGAATTAAAGACATTTATCAGCTACTTAGAAATCCATAGCAAACTCATGAGATAAAGAAAATGCATATAATGTATAAATGACTTGCTTGCAGTGTTTACATATTACTCATCATTAATATGAATTAATTATAACTATATGTACCATTCAAAAAAGAAAGCATTGCCTTTCATATTACATTTGAACATTTCTAGCTGGAAACTAGATTTCATCCTTTCACATAAGTCAGGTCAGGAAACATATTCCATAAATTTGACTGGAAGTCTATTTTACTGATAAAGGCTACTGTAATAGAATCTTGAAAACCTGAGTGCATTTTTCCTGTGATAATCTAGACAATGAAGGTGGAGCTAGTTTGAGTTTCTTCTAATGTTTTCTTCCTGTTAGAATAAAATACTGCTAATCTAACTGAAGTTGTATAGTTTCTCCAAGGCCGTCTCAATGGTTCTCTACAGCACATAAGCACAAAACAATATGTTTACATAAAGTTTGAAAACATAGGATTTCATTGGCTAAATTTCAATGTCTAATTAGCATCAGTCTGCAACAATTAGCTTTATAACAAAATAAGCATTCTCACTCACAGTACTTAATTATAAAAAATAGGATATAAAAAATAAAAGCTAAGAGTCTTCTTTCTAGTGTCTTTTCAAACTACTGGCAGGGTTTTATTTAAAATGCATCATAACTGAATAAGATGCTGCTCATATTAGAAATAAAAATACTGCCATACTATTTAAAACAATTGTATATTTTAGAAGAGATGGACAAGCATAACTCCATCCAACTCACTATATTATAGTATACTTGTTTTGCAAAAGATAATCAGACACAGGAAAATTATAATCCTTTCTTGATAGAAAATCTAAATTTTCAAACGAATCCCCCAGCTAAAATGAGTTATTGTAATATTTAAAATCCTTATATGTTTTTGCCTTTACAAGGGCACAGCTGACCAACTTCTATGTTACAATGTCCAAGCAGCAGTTCCTCTATCCTTTAAATGCTGCTCTCTTCAGTCTAAGGATGCACTCCACTGAATCAGATGGTAAATTAAAATGCAGACAAATTAGTAAAATCAGCCAGGAGAATTGTTGTTTCCAACTGACTGGTTATTGTGAAACAGGTCTCCTCTTCCGCTGGGTGCAGCATAGCAGGAGTGCCACTGCAGCTCTAAAAAGAATGAATGTAAACAGGCCAAACCAGGCCAAACAAATATTCATTTTCATTTGAAGAACATATACTAGTGAAATCAAGAAATCTGATAACTAGATAATATCAACACTGTCAAATTTATGTGATATTCGAATAGTAATGGGTTTCTCACATTTCCCTATTATTCTATTATTAACAATTAGAATTGAAATTGAACAATTGAATTCCAAAAATGCCCAGTTCCTATTTCCAATCTTGCAGCAACATAAAGCTATTCTTGCATATGCAGATTGACTTCTAATTCCCTTTAGAGCTAAGAAAATAAGGAGAGGCATAGTTTGGAGACACTAAAATAAATGCTATACTGTACGGTACACACATAAACAGAATCCTCCTACCTTCTCCCACTCCCTGACATTTTCAATCAGATGCCAGAGGGTGAATTAAAAAAAATGACAGATTTGCTGGTATTTCACATTCATCCAGATTCTCCCTTCCTTTAAATAAAAAGACAAATCAATTCATAAAGCTTTCCAGGATCTTTTATGCCTGTTACTATTGTCCTTTGTGTGATAAGTCACAAAAGAAAAGTCCCATTTTGGTTCTTTCTTGGACTAGGCACCTAATCTAGAAAATATATCTCAACCTTTTCCTCCTCCCAACGCGGCTTTCTATTAGGATGCATTTGGTAACTCCCTGAACATGTCCGAATCCAATCCTACAGCAACACCAAGAGCCTGGCACGGACAGACGGGGAAAATGCTGCAGAGTAGGAACCCAAAGCCACAATAACACCCTTTCCAGGCTTTCGGGGCGGGGAATGGTGAAATGTAGAAAAAGAGCAGGAGCATTTTACTATATACTGTGAGCTAGGCAGAAGGAGCAGTTCCACTCGTAAAAGCAGGAATGGAGGGATGCTGGCCAAGGTGAACCAAGGCACCTTAAAGTAACAGCAGCTACCACTGGGAAGGACCAAGCGAGGCAACTCTGGTCGCGTCTTACCTGGAGAAAGCCGGGCTGAGCGCAGAGCATGCTTTTTCAATGGGAGCAATGGGGAGCGATGACATAAAGAACAGGCTTTAGATCCCACACGTGCGGCTCATGACTTGATGCCTACTAGCTAAGCTCTCTGGTGCAATCTCAGACCGCCTGGTCTTTCCGGGTTCCCCAGCCGCTTAGCTCTACCTGCCTAGCAGCACCGCAGCCGCCGCCTCTTTCGAAACTGGAATGACGCGAGGGAGGAAAAATGCGTGCAACAGTCCGTTCATTCAAGCATCATTAGAGTCCAAGGACCCGCAACAAAAGCAAAAGTGGCGCTGGCGCGTAATACGCCTCTTCTGATCGTGTCGCCGCCAGCACGGCTCATTCAGCTCCGCCCCATCTCGCTCTGAGGACCGAGCTGAAATAGCCAACCATGAAGCGCGCCTGGTTGCGCCAGCGGATCTCCCCTGGCAGATCCTCCTTCCTTGCACCCCGGGTGATCCTCAGTGCGTCGGGGACTTGCTGATACGTGATCTTTGCAGACGGGAGAACGGCAGACGCGGCTACCAATGGTTCTTGGGGCCTTAAAAGACGATGCATTGTTTTCAGGGGCATGGATGCTGTCGGCCAAGACCAGCTGAAAAGTCAGCATTGTTGAGTGATTAGTGCAGTTTTCTGCAATGCCTACTTTGTAATTTTTAAAAAAATAAATGGTGGTATATTATTGTATCATCTATACATTTTTTGGTTATATCGTCTCTATGCTGCCAAATCCTTCATCAAAATAAATATTGGGCAAACATTCAAATGACCAGTGATAGGACTCCTGTCGGATGCATTCAGCATGACCACTGTTGCCCAATCAACAGTGCCCAGTCTCAGGAAGCAGGTGGCTTATTTTAGATAAAATCATCTAGAGCTAGCATAATATATCTGGTTTGGAATAATCTGAGACAAAGAATGTAAATTGTATGGCTCTGCTGTTGTCTATCATTCTGATATTGCAACCCAGGTCTGATACTTGTGTTTTATTTTTGGATTTTTTTTCTAATGAGAAGCAGGTTTACCTTTTCTGGGAAGATGCAGTTAAGCTTAATGCTATTGATTATGTTGGAAACAGTTAAGTTTATTTATATAGCTACTAAAAAGGAATGTACTCCACCAAAGTTTATGGCAAAATGAGGCAGCAGTATTTATTTCAATTAAGTTATATAGCTGGTCATCTCACTTAGGTGACTCTGGTTGACCAACAACTTAAAATAGCAAAGATACACTTGTATAAATTAATTAAAACAATCAGAAAGTGGAAAAGTAACAACCTGTACAGGCTATATATCCATTTTGCACAGGTCTCCAAGCCTGATGTCTTCAAGGACTTTCTAAAGAACAACAAAGTTGGGGGCAATCTAAACCTCATTTATATCTATTTATCTGGTAATAAGCTCCATTGATCAGGTCCTCCTGAAAAAAAAAAACCTTTTGAGGTTAATAAGCAGAAATTAATACACCAGAGTAGATAGGAGTATTTTGAGTTTCTCACAGATATCCATTTGCAAAGTACTTGTTTACCAGAAAATCAACCAGTGAAACATATCTCTCTCCCCAACACTACTATTGGACATGTGGAAATGTGCAAAGCCTGGGCCAGATAGCCTGTTTATTTTCTAAAATTAGTGATCAAAATGTGCCCTTTACAAAATGTTTTGCCCATTTCCAGTATTATTTTTTTTTAAATGCTTCAAGAAGTCCAGTGGGCACCACTGGGGTGTCTATGGACATATGGTTGCTTTCTGTAATTATATTGTATATTCTAGCTCTAAGACACAATCAGTTATTTTACTGCTGGTAGCTTATTTACATCAAAGTAAACAATCTCTTAGAGCTTGTGCATATATTTGAAATAATGGGAAGATATTGGGGTGCTGTTGCGAATGCCTGATATTCATTCTGAGCAAATTAGTAAAACAAAGCAACTATCCAGAATTTTTAAGAATTACATTAAGGCCTATGAAGAGACCAGAGGCATTTTTGTAAATGATGATAATTCTGGATATTGGCACTTTGCTTTATATTTTGTAGTTTAATTACAAGGTTTTTTAAAAATAAATAAAGGGACAGAAAACTTAGCAGAAAATGGTCTCTTTTGGCAAACATTGCCAATTCTTTATTGAATGATTTTGTATCATCAAGTTGTTACCAACTTTTAGTGACACAAAGGTAAATTTTCTCTACAATGATCTGTCCTTAATCTATGCTTCAGCTCTTCCAGCAATGCATTCAATGTCACCATAAGTGAATCCAGTCCCCTTGCTGCTAATCATTTTCTTCCATTTTCTTCCACCTTTCACATCATTAGAGCTTTCTCCAGAAAGCTAAGTCTTTCCATAATGTGTCCGAAGTAGCATAATTTGAGCCTCGTCACTAGTGCCTCAAGCAACAATTCTGAGTTGATTGGTTCAGATATCTAAAAGGCCTTTGGAGGGCAGCTGCCATGATATTATAAGGATCTTCTCCATCACCAAAGTTTTGTTTCCTGCTTCTTCAAAGTCCAACTTTCTCTTTAATAAGTCTCAAAGGGAATACCATGGCTTATATGATTCTTACCTTTGCAGATATAGATACATCACAACATTTGAATATCTTTTCCAAGACTTTCAGGGCTGCTCTACTAACTAATACTCGGTGGCATATTTCTGAACTGTTTGTTTCTTTACTGTTGATAATTGATTCTAAAAGACAGTCTCTGCCACTTCATAATGAAATAAAATGTCAGTAGCCTACTTGTTTGCAAAAAGCAGTATCTGAAATAAATTTAAATTTAAAAAGTTTAAAGAATGGGGGGAAAATTATTAACCTTTCCTTTTTACCTCTCTTCTTAAAAATCCCTACTGTTGAAGGAAAAGTCTTCATCATGGTTCAGTCCAAGCTGGGAATAAACAACATGATGACTGCTTTAGAAAGAAGGTTGCAGTTTATTGAAGAGGAGAGCCAGATAGAAACATGGCTCTGGAAGAAAAGAGAGAGAGCACATGTAGGGAGTAGGTTTTTATACTTCTTGAGCCTTTTGTTTGGAGTTGTTCCTGTGGCATGAACTTTGACCTGAGTCTGAGTATGTCTTTCTGGTATTCTGATGGTGGTGAGTAAATCCTATTATGACCCAAAGGTCAATCCTGCTTCTCTGGGGCTGATGACTCTTAGATTTTTGATGTGAGGAATTGTTGATTCTAGGGATCTTTCTTCCTAATCCCAGCTTCCTGACTCCAATCTTTCTGACAAGATTATCACATCTGCATTTTGCAGACTTGGTTTCTGTTTGGGACAGAGAGACTTGGGGGCGGGGTTGGTTTCTGCTTTTAAAGTCCTTTAGGGAAATATATTCTGCCTTTTAAATATTTCCAAAAATATTTCTTTCTCTGGGGGGGAGCTGACTTCCCACAAATCACCCCTTTGTGCCATAATAGTGTGGGTGACACACTTTTACTGGCACAAGATTAAAATTGATCAGAGTGACTTGGTAAACAAGCTTTAAACTGTTAAAAAAAGGGAGGCACTAATAGAGTTCAACCATGAAGGTCTAAAGCCAGGGCAAACGTTCTGTTAGATGGAAAAGAAATTTATAGTGTCCAATATTCTATGCCAATTCTTTTTAAATGTTGGCTGTCACTTCGAGTTTCCAGTCAGATTTTGAAGCACATGCCTTTCAAAATTCTTCCCAGCCATGGTCTTCATCAGTACATAACCACTGGCTGCCCATTTTCAAAGGTTGTTTCCTGCCTTAGCTCTTAGTTCAGTGCACCCGGGTTTGTAATGTCCAGTTGAGGTTAGCCAGTATGGAAGCCAGGTTATTAAATTTTCTTAAATTATACATAGTGAGCCCTAGGACTCCCAATCTGAGTCTAGCAGTGCAAGATATTCAGGGCTTAGGTTTGGAGATCTCTTTTCTGCTACCTCCTCAGTGAGGGCATATGCATTGCAAATCACGTGAGGGGGCCTGGTTCCCTCCCCCTTGGAATTTGCAGGAAGTTTTACATGCAGAGTTTTAATGACATAGGGCAAGAATCAGGCTGGAGCTTTACTGAAGGTAGGTGAAAGAGATAGACTCAATGTGATTATGAATGATGTGTGTGCACATGTATGTGTGAGCAGCTACTTCCACAAAACAGGCAATACAAGCATCCTGGACAAATTTATGATATACCCTGGACCATTTTTTATGCTTAAACTTGATAGCCTTGATATAGAATAAATGATTTATAAGTGGTGCTGTTTTGTTTTTGTTTTTTTGTTTCATCCCATGCTTATTGACTTTAGGATGACTTAACGGTAGATCTTTTACAAAAACATTTCATAACATTACAGGGAAAATGCTGCAGAGGTTTGGCTAAATTATCATGTAGGTGATGCAAAACTCTACCTATTATTTCCATTTTATATTAGTTTTTTTGCTTTTTTACAAGGCAGATAGGAATGTTTTTTGGTAAATAAAGGTGTTTCATCTTTAAAGTGCCTGTCAGCTGTGTTTTTTTTTCTGAGAAAACCAACCTTCTCCTCCTTAAAGCTTCATTTGAGTTAATCTGTAAAACAGCATTAACGAAAACTGCTGCATGCCTGGATATTTTCAGTTAATACCCAAGGTCCTGCTGTTTGGTCCACAGGTAAGAGCTGCAAAATGTGTGAGTAACAGAGACAAGAGAGACTCATATTTCTTTCATCTGTAGAATACCCCTTCTAATCTCAGAATATGATGTCAGGACTTAATAAAAAAATTAAGTGCTATGACCAGAATTTTGTCCCCAGCAAAATTTGGGGCTTTAAAATTGGTATCATTACTTAGATCTCCTGCTTTTTGGTACTTTATGCATGAACAATTGTTTCTGACATATGAAGGATATAAGTGGAATTCACATTTTATACATTATACCATAATATGTTTAGTGTGATTTTGTTTAGACATATATTGTATGAGTGGCACCATGATTTGTCAGTGCAAATATGTGAACACAGTCAATTGTGGGTTAGAAAAAAGATAAAATCATGATTTACTACTACATATGAATTCATTACATACGAATGTAAAGTTTTGCATTAATGTTTCAACCAAGAAAAATTCTTTCAATTCCATATTTTCCTATACACGGCTATGGAGGACATTATTCATTTCTCATATGTTTTTGCAGAAGTGCATACCTATTAGAAGATGGGTGCTCTATGAATTTAGATTTGGAAAAAACATTTTGCATTTTCCAATAACTGAAGTAGCTTCAGTAACTGAAACTTCCTTCCCCTAAGGGAAGCTAAATAGGATAATGGCCTTATTTTTCAAAATATCACTGAATATCGATAGACACCATGAGAAGAGAAAGAAATGGAGAGGAAGGGAAATGGAGAAACGAGAAAGAGATAGAGATTTAGCAAACATTTTGTGAAAATATGTTGTGTTTTGTTTGTCTACATCAAAGATTAGTCAGCAAAATAGTTATTAGCTTATCATGATGTTTTTAAAACTTGAATTGAATAGTGATTTTGCTTAAAACAGATTCTGGAAAGAAAGGTTGAAGAGATGACTTTCTGCAATGTATAAGCCCTCTCTTTACATTCTAATCCATCACAGCATTATACTGTTTACATTATTTCTGT